TGAGGTTCTTTAAGATGGGTGTCCCTGTGGGTACTTCACCACCCAACCTTCCTCCCGTCTGCTTTGGTGCATCACCATCACACATCCTTACCGGGGCAGAGAAGGAACTGAAGAGATCATAGCCTGTGCATGAGCATTAGCTGCCCTGCATGTAGAGTGTACTGTGCATGTGTAAACTACCTGTCACTAGCACTGCTCTTGAAATCTTCCGGCCAGGCGTGCTGTGGCGCCCAAACATCTACGGTGGAGCACCCATAGGGACACCCGTCTCGAAGAATGTCAGTTACTGCAGAGGGTGATTAACCTTCTCTTTCTCTTTATAGAAACCATTTTGAGTTTGCCCCAACAAATTATGTCTGTGTTTGACAAATCTGTACTTTACTATTATTTCAACCAATTTGCCTGTCTTGAAATTAGACTTACTGGCCTGTAATTGCCAGGATCATCTCTGGAGCCCTTTTAAAAACTTAGCGCCACATTAGCCATCCTCCAGTCATTTGGTACAGAAGTTGATTTAAAGGATAGGTTGCAAACCACAGTTCATAGTTCCATAATTTCACATTTGAGTTCTTTCAGAGGCCAAAGTTGAGGGCAGCAATGGGCAACCTATGCTAGTGAGTGGGCCACAAGAGTGACCTTCCTCAATCTCAGTGGGCTGCAAGCCAGGCTCCCAGGATAGGGTAGTTTTGCTACTGAATTTGCACGGTGTTCCAGTTGAACAATAGCAGTGCTTTGATTGGATTTAGAGGGAATAGACAGCTCTTGCAATCAGCACACACCTCACTTCACATACCCTTGCTTTACATGTGTCACATTAGTAACACTGCTGGGAAAAAAATTACATGGATGGAAATTAACAGAAGCTGACAACCAGCATGTGAGCAATGGTAAAATATTTCATGGGCCACACATAGAACCCTGATAAACTGCAGGTGGTCCTCAGGCCGCAGGATGCCCACCACTAATCTAGGCACTTGTGACTCTAGAAAAGACTGGGCTCTGGGAAGGTGGAGGGAGGGAGGGAATAATCTATCTCTGTTACTGCTCCTCAAACTATTAAAATGCTTTTTTGCACAGGGGCCAAAAAGTGATTAGTGAAAAAGAACTAGAGAACAAGGGAGGAGAATGCTTATTTGGTCTGTGTGCCCCCCAAGCAAGCCAGGTCTCTCCCTGTATCACTGGAGGTAGGTCTATTCTGCAATGCTATTTCGGGATACTGGAGTATCCCGAAATAGCTATCCTGTGTCCTCACAGCAAGCCCATTATTTCAGGCTCACCATTCTGACATCCCTGTAAACCTCATTCTACGAGAAGGAAGGGACATTTTGGAATAGTGCTTTATTTCGAAATTTGGCGTTCTGTAGACAGTGCCAAATGACGAAATAAGCTATTTCAAAATAACATTGAAATAAGATATGCAATTTGCGTAGTTCAAATTGCATATCTTATTTCAAGTTACGATGCAGTGTAGATATATCCACAGAGAACACTGGGGAAAAAGAGTCTCTCTCTCCCTTAGAGAATATAGCAGGAATTCTATGCAAAAGTGGGGATTGTGTTAGGCTGTTCACTTTGTTATGTTGCATGTGATGTCTACTGTACTGTAGCAACCCCATGTATGTGCCTCAGTTTCCCTGGACACTACACCAATAGTGAGATGGTGGTAGGAATTTCTGGTGTGATAACCTTTCCCATGTACACAATGGCTGATGCTTTTTGTAACCTGAAACTGGGAGGGGGAGTGTGCCCAGAGGACACCTTTTTCAGGGGAAGCTGCACAAAGGCTGGAGGTGGGGCTGGCAGCAGGGGGAGATAGGGCTGCTGGGTGTGTGAGTGTTGCTAGCTTGGGGTCCAGGGCTGGGGGGGCAGGGCCCTTGGCTCTGAGCCCCCTCTCCCCAAGATGGATTGTTCTGGCTGCTTCTGCTTTCTGTGCTGACAAGTCTGCAACCAACCCTGTAAACTAATAATCCTGCTGTTCCCCCTGCTGGCTGAGAGTCACCTCTCTCTGCGGATGGCTCCTCACGCCTACTTCTCCGATAAGGGGGTGAGGTCCTCCTCCCTCCTGCCCTGAACCGAGGACACTGCAGCTTTCTTTGTGTGCCTCTGCAGGGAACACTTCAGGCCTCCAGCTTTTGTCCGAGGGTGAATGGTTTCTCTGTTGCTGGGTGCTGAAACCCTGCACCTCCTCCTTCAGGTCCCACGCTGTGGAAACTGGGCTGTTCAGAGCATCCTCCTGGGCTGCTGCACACAAGGAGGGTAGGCCATTGCGAGGTACACCATCCATCTTTTCCGGGACAGAAGGAGTTAACCTTCCCAGTCCAGCCTCCCCCCTCCCCCTCAGCTGCTGCCTTTTGAGTCCTGAAGCTAGGCCACAGGCTGACCTTCACACAGCCAGGCTGCTCACTGGGCATGCTCGCTTCCTGCTCCAGGGACCTGTGCTCACAGGCAGCCCTGCTGGGAAGGAACGTCCGCAGCACAGGCCAGGGCCCCAGCCTGCCTTTGTGCTCCAGCTGTGGGACCACAGCGCCCTGCCTCTCCCTGCCTGCACTGCTGGGAGAAGAGTTGCCATTTGGTGCTGTTGGTGCTTCAGTGACTGAAGGAGAGATGGGGGGACATTAAGGGGGATTCCTGTTTTGACTGCTGCAGCAACCAGCACTGGCTGAGACAAGGCATTGCCCTGCACTAAAAGACACTCCTTTTGCACATTCATTGCTCAAACACTTGTGGGGAATGGGGGGAGGGATGGGAGGGATTTATAGTACATACATTTGGGTGAGGCTCTGCTTTTTGTGGCAGAGGGGTGAAAGTGTATCAATAAGCTGGGAACAGGGAGCACAATAACCATTTGAAATGGAGGAGCTAAATAATAAATGCCTTTTCTTACATTAGCTAGGCTGATTCTGGAGAGCTGCGAGTTTGCAACCTCATCTTGCCATGAGGATGAGTTTAATATTCTCTGTGTGGGTTTACTCTGTATCTGCATGCATGTGTGTCTATAAATTATGTATTTATTGGATGGGGATATATCTGATTATATAAAGGGAGACTATGCTAAAAGCAGAACAAAGGGCTTGAAAGAATGGTACATGCATTTCATTGTGCTTTTGAGACCTAAAAGGGGGCTGTGACAGAAAAGATATGATCCAGATGCTGCCTCACCAAAAATGGAGGAGACACACAGTAGCCAGGAATTAGATTACAAGTGCCTTTTCTCAGGCCAGGTCTACACTACAGCTGAAGGTTGGCTTACGGTAACATAAGAAATGTAGCTGGAGTCAACGTACCTTAAGCCGAGCTTCAACCTGCTGATTTCCCTTATTCCTTGTGAGGAGTAGGGTTCTGTCATTGATGGGGGTGCCCTCAGTGTGCAATGTAGTGGTGCTGTACTAGGCCCACTAAATTGAATGCTAGACGATTGACTGCTGCAGCACTGACCTTCTCTGTAATCTAGACATGGCCTCAGTAACTCAGGAATGGGTGAAGAAGTAGTACTGGCCTGTGGGCAGGTTTCTTCTGATACAGCTAGCTTCCTAGCATTTCTGGTATTCATGCAGTGATCCCTGCATATTAGTGCTTGGGTTAGAGTGTGAGTGATTTTGGGAGTTGATACATTAGATGCTCAGTGCCAGCTTATTCAACATTTCCTCTGTGGGTTTGGTTTTCTGTACAATGGTCAAAGCAGTGATTTATCTGAAATCAGGTCATTTTTCTACTCCTAGTCTGACCAGACAATTTCTAGCCCCTAGACAAGAATAGGATACACCCCTCGTAACCTGGCAACATCTCCTATATTGCTGTGATAGGCAAACAGTGAAATGTCAGCTCCTCACAAGCTGCGCACAAGAAGCTGTCAGTAAGCAGATTGCTGCCCCAAGCCACCACTGTCCATTCTAACATTATGGAAGAGTCAGCCCTGCTGAGTACGGCTGCTATGTTTGTCTCCAGTCACTGCATCGTCAGTGTCTAACTCATTTGCTTGGTGAAGTCTTAAGACATCTGCCTTATGAAATGGCTGTAAAATCTATATTGCCTCATCCACCTTATCACTCTAATAACCTGGGACTGACATTGCTACAACAAAATGTAAAATCCATACTAAATGTCTCTTTTCTTTACCCATCTCTTTCTCTTCCACTTAGTTGGGCGTGGCAGGTTTGCTCCATGTTTTCTGGGGAAGGCAGTTTTATTTCCCTGGGAAGACATGCTTTCTGGTTTACATTAGGCTTTTTGTTACACCTGGCTAGATATTTACACCTAATGGCACCCACTGTGTTATTGTCTGTGCCTATCAATCTCCTTTGAGGTGTCTGTCACTATCTATGTAAGCATAAAGGCAGGTTGCCCTGGCAAGGTTATGGGGGTATTGTAGAAGAATAGCAAATCAAGCAGCATGCCCCAGTCACTAGCTTTATGCTACTGACTCCTTTTTCACAAATACCCCTTCTCTGTGCACTTTTTCTGCTCTCTCTGTTTTCTCAGCCTGCTCTTTCTCTCTCCTGTCCAAAGAGCTTAGTTCTCAGTCTCATTTGCTGGAAATGCTGCCAGTGAATGTTTGTGTGCACTGCCTGCCAGGTCTCTGGGGAAAAGGCCTGGAAATACAGTGCAGGGGGAGTAATGGGACCAGGAGGAAGCCATTGTTTCCTCACTGCTTGCCTGGTGCGTTTTCCAACTGAAAAAAGCTCTCTGTGAGGCACTGAGCTTAATGTCATTGCTGAAACCTTGCCCCGCCATCCCATTGCTCAGAATCTGCCATCCGCTTTATGCAGAGGAGGAGAGGCTGCAGTACTGCTACTCAAAAGCTCAGACGTGTTTTCAGTTTGCCTCCTGCTTATCTCTGTTGTTTGGACAGAGAGGTTTAAAAAGCTGGATTTTCTGTCCCTGCAGAGTAAACACAGAGAACCCGGCAGCACAAACTATTTCTGGCTTATCAGTTGAGGAATGTAGCAGCTGAGGATTAGCGTGAGTGGGCCGTCAGGAAAGCCCTGAAGGGGCCCCCTCCCCCACTCAGCTCTATTAGAAGTGTGAGAGCCCAGCAGGACTCAGAGGGGAGAGTTGGAGAAAAAGGCAGAAAAGGGAAAGAAAGAGGAAGAGAGAGAGTGAGAGAGGCTGAGCAGACCCTGATGGCTACAGACGAAGTTGCAGGAGGGGCTCGCAAAGCTACGAAAAGCAAACTTTTTGAGTTTCTGGTCCATGGGGTGGTGAGTCGGGAAAGTTAGTGAGCTGGCTTGGTCTGAATAGAGGAGTGAGTGGAAATTGGAGGCTCTGTGCTGGGCTGAAAACAGCCCCTACAATATCTTCTGGGGGCTTCTGAGAAATGCTGTACAGCTAGAACACAGGGCTCTATGAAGCTCCCAGAACATGCACTGAGTCATTGGTAATACAGAAATGTTTGGAGGAATGTATGCTGCAATTTCTGCTCTTGGCTCTCCATGAATGGTGAATGGTTTGCTTTTGAACCTGATCACAGTGCAGATCTGACACTAATGGGTTCATTGGACACTCATTGGTTCTGTTATCAAACTTTGTGTGTGTGTTTGCTTAATTCTGATGAAAGTGCAGTGAAGCCTTGAATGGTGCTGCCTGTAGTAGTTCTTTTTAGAATTGGGTCTCCTCTATCTTCTGGCTACCTAACAGGTGGCTTTGGGAGGGAGGGGGGCCTCTCAGAGATTAGCTCTGCAGGACCTTAGAAGTCTGTACGCAGTCATAGGTTAGGGAGTGAGCACTATGCTTTAAGGAATCATTACATTACTGTAAGTAAGATTAATACAGTGTTTGGAGACCTCCTGACACTGGAGCTCCCCATTTGTAGGAAATTGCAAACCCCATCCCACTGTCATTGGAGAGCATGTTCTTTAGCTGCTCCAGCCAGTGTCATTGGGATTTCTTAAAGGAGACTTTAAATTTAGCAAATAGCAGAGTATTGGAAAGTCCTAGGAGTACAAATATGGAATGAATTTCGATGATCATTTCCAAGTCATTAGCTGAGGGTTTTCATACCTATCAAGATCACAGGAATCTTAAGCGGTCACTTTTCAGATTTCCTAAGTGTTTCCATATTCAGGACATGCCAATACTGGCTGCTTAGAGTGTAACTTATAATTTAGAGGAATTCGACACGGTGAGATCTGCAAGGCTAGGGACATCTAAGTGGCATGCTGTTTGTGTGAGAACTGTGAGATGATGACCATTGTCCTTGTGTTCTACAGAACTAGATAAGGAATATATTGTGACATTAACCCTGCTATGTATGGGGTAGCCTGACAGTGCATGTGTGGGTGGACATGTAAATGTGGCCTGGTGGTACATGCGTGGGAATACAAGAGGTGAGTGGAATTGTGAGAACAGCTTGCCAGGTAAGAGCAGCGTGGCAGCAGGGCAAGGAATCCTGTGGGGACAGCCAGGAAGCATATGGCTGGGAGCCCATGTGAGTGGGCAAGCAGGCATACGGGGTGGCTTGCTGACACGTGCATTGTCATGTGGAGGCAGACTGGTGGGCTGGCAGCCTGTCACTCAAGGGTGATCTGAGAGCAGATAGGTGTGACCTAGTAGTGGGAGGCCTGGAAGTGGTTGGATGGGCTCACAAGGATGACTGGGTGGAAGGCAAGTTGCTGGATAGATAACTTTGTAAAAGTGTCTAAGGGTTATTTTTGTAATACTGGACTAATTAACTTTTCTCTGGTACCAGGAAGATAAAGAATGTAATAATAGCCACACTGGGTCAGACAACGGTCTCTGACAGCAACTGGTGCCAGAGGCTTCAGGGGGAATGAACAGAACCAGACAGTTGTCGAGTGAGTCATCCCCTGTCGTCCAGTCTCAGCTTCTGGCATTTAGAGGATTAGGGACACCTGTTTGGCTGAAGCGGTATTGTACAATACCTAGATTCACATGGTGTGATAGAGAAAAATTGGCTTCTGTAAAGGAGAATTGGGTTTTCTTAATGTTTGACATTTTGGGGACATCGACAAAACGGTAGTTATAAGGGAACCAATTTCCATTTTTTATTGGGAGTTTCAAAGAGCCATTAGTGCGGTTTGTCAAAACACAATAGACTACGTCTAGACTGGCATGATTTTCCGCAAATGCTTTTAACGGAAGAGTTTTTCCATTAAAAGCATTTGCGGAAAAGTGTTTAGATTGGCATGGACGCATTTGCGCAAAAGTACTTTTTGCGGAAAAGCATCCATGCCAATCTAGACGTGGTTTTGCGCAAGAAAACTCCGATCGCCATTTTCGCCATCGGGGCTTTTTTGCACAAAACACTTTTTAGCTGTCTACACTGGCCCTCTTGCACAAATACATTTGCGCAAGAGGGCTTTTTCCCGAACGGGAGCAGCATAGTATTTGCACAAGAACACTGACAATCTTACATTAGATCGTCAGTGTTCTTGCGGAAATTCAAGCAGCCAGTGTAGACAGCTGGCAAGTTTTTCCGCAAAAGCACCTGCTTTTGCGGAAAAACTTGCCAGTCTAGATGCAGCCTATAATACATTATAAAGAAATTATTTTCTTGTCTGCACTGGGATTTCAGCTATCAAATTGTGTAGCTATAGTTGTGCAAACCCTTGGTGTAGATATTGTTTCATTGGTGCACTGTGACTTGTTTTAGTGCAGCTTTTCTCTGGCTTCAAGATCTGACAGGACCGCTTCTGCTTCCTATACCTCTTTATTCCCCACTCCATTAATGAAGCTGTGGCTTTTTTTTCTTTTCTTCTCTAACTTGTACACCTGCCCCAGTGACCCAATTGCTACCTGCTTGTTTATCTCCCTCACCTTCACTCTCACCTCCTTCCTTCCTTCCTTCCTTCCTTGTTCTTCTGAATTCACTTTCCCTTGGCATCATAAGCACAGTTTAGTCTTCCCTATCATAAAAAGTAGGTCTAGTTCTTACCTGCCTCCTCAGCCATTATCCCATCTCCCTGTCTTCACCTACATACGTGAATGTGCTATTTGCAATTGTTGCCTTGATCTCTGCCAGTCTCAGCGGTTTATTATCGCCATAGTATTTGAGTCCCATCCATGTAAAACCAATGGCAATAAGAAAGTATCTCGCCTCCGATTGGGGTAAAAGCTCTTGCTGGGATGTTTTTTTCTTTTATTTTGTTTGCTTGCTTTGTTAGTCTGGGTGGTGTTTGAGTATGTGAAGGTATCAATATTCTGAGTGTCCTTCTTGCTATAGTAAAACGCTTTTTTGAAGAGGAAGGTTTTGCAGTGTTTCCTGAAGATTGTCAGACTTTCCATTCACCTGATCTTGTTTGAACATATGCTCCAGAGCTAGAGCCCCTCAAATGAGAGAGCTTTGCTCCACACACTTTTACACACTGTGTCCTCAGCTTCCCCACTCACCCTGTTCTTGACCGTCTTCCAATCTGGCTTCTACCCTGGCCACTCCACCCAAATTACTTTCACTAATTTCCTCTTCTTGGCCAATCTCAAGGCCTGTACTCCATCTTCATCTCCCTTGACTACTTGCTGGTCTTTGACATCAATGATCACACTCTGCCAGGGGCAGCCCATCCATATAAGCGAACTAGGCGGTCGCTTAGAGTGCCAAGTTAAATGGGGAGACAAATGGTGGCGCAATATCATTGAGGGGTTTGGAGGTGGGGGCGCTGATTGCATGGTTCGCCTAGGGCACCGGTTGCTGGCAGCTAGTCTAGAGCTGCCCCTGCTGACTTTGCTTCTTTAAATTGGGTCATTCGCAGACTTTCTGTCTCCTATCTTACAGTTCTCTCTCTCCATATTTTTTTCAATGTCCTATTTGGTGAGTCCTCTTCTGTCCTTCTCTGTGTGCATCTCCCAAGACTTTATTGCTGTTCCTCTCCTTTTCTCTCTCTACACACTATTTCTGGGTGCTCTTATGCATAAGCATGGCCTTAATTACCATCTTTGTGCTGATCATCTTCTCTAGTGATCAGCCATCTGTGGTGGGGAGAGGGCAGGGCAGGGCAGTGGTGGGAAGGGTGGGACTAGGGCAACGGGAATGGGCAGGCTCCCTCCTCCCACCCAATTTCCCCCGGCCTGGTACTCTCAGGTCAGATTGAGCAACTGCTTTGTCCGGGGATAACATGCAGGCCTGTAGTTTGAGAACCCTAATCTAACTCTAGCCAAATCTTGTACGGCCTCTCAAAGATCCAGCTTTTTTTGCTGGTACATCCTGCCAAAGTTCTTGTCAAAGCAACTGTCATGTAACATTTGATTTCTGTAATCTCTTCCTTTCTGGCCTTGATGCTGACAACCCAGTTCTCATTATGTTAATTCAAAATGCTGCTGAGAGGTTTATCTTCATGTCCTATTGTTCTCACCTATTCACCCTCTTTTTGTGTGTGTCCCCCTTCATTGGTTCCCCCTTGTCCGCCTCTTCAAACACAACTGTCTTCTGATTATTTACTATTTGAATGATTGTAGCATCTAACCCTAACCACACTGTGCTAGGTGCTGCATGGTGCCTCTGTCCCAAGAAGGTGCCTCTGTCCCAAGAAGTTGATAATGTCAGTGTAGGACAAGAGAGAAAAGATGGATGCAGATAGATGGAGGAGTACAAGGAACCAATTAAATAATATTGGTGATAAGCAGTGGTAGGGATGTAAAAGGTGAATCAGTTACCTGGGAGCATTATGCTGACCGGAATGCTTACTGTGTAACAATTGGACAGCCAATGGAGACAGGCTGGAACAATCCTGGGCTGAGTCCAGCCAGTAGGGAGGGCCACTCTTCTGTTGGGCCAGCGGGATGCTGACTGCGTGGGAGAACGGGGCAGGGCCAAAGCCACTCTGACTCAGCCCAGGTGGGTTGGCAGGGGCCCAGCCCCTGCTGCCTGCCTACGATTAACCAGTTAAAACATTATAATTTTAGTTGTTTAACCAGTTAACTATTTAAACAGTTATTTACATCCTTAGGAAGCAGCCACAGCACACCAAGTTCTTTTGTCAGCATCAAGGCAAATGATGTTGTTTTATGTAAGCCTGACCCTCATTGGACTCCTCCCTCTCCATCAAATCAAATTACTTATTGCAATGTTATTGATACAGCTTTGATTATCTGCTTTTCTCATAAGGATCTTTGTGTTTTTTGCCATGCTGTGCATGGAAGCTCTCCACATTAACATTTGTAAGTCCACCTCCTTTCCCTCCTTAGAGTCCTCCTTAAAATGTGTTCCTGCTATGATGCCTTTTAATCATTACTAGTGTCCGGTTTT